AAGCCATCCTAAATGCTACATTAACACAATCAATGGTCTATACACAGGAGAAAAAGGGGAGTGGTAAAAACTTTATTCATTAAATCTGGTTAATGACCACATATTTATCTATCTGTCTTAGTCCACACATCACTGACGGGCCTCTCAGTTGTATAACATTAAACGTTTGCTCGGCTAACATACGACCTCCCACCTTCTCGGTCCTGGTTTGGAAAGGATGCCCAGTGCAGAAGGCAGGTACTCTTCACCCGTGGGAATAAAGGACAAAGGAGGAAGTGGCATGCAAGAGACATGGTCTCGGTAAGAGCCTTGGGACTATTTTTAAAATCTACTTGTAAATGAATATATTGTTTGATGGTGAAAACTATCACTAACTAATTTGAATTCATTGTCTAAGACATCCAAATGGCCAACAGGTGCATAAAAAGATGCTGAACATCACTAATCACCAGGGAATTGCAAATCAGAACCACGTTGAGATATGGCCTCACACCTGTGGGATGGATGTCATGGAGAAGAGATGACAAGTGCTGGCAAATGTGGAGAAAAGGGACCTTTGTGCACGGTGGTGGGAATGCAAATTGGTTCAGCCACTATGGAAAACAGTAAGGAGGTTCCTCAGAACATTAAAAATGTATCTACCATGTAATCCAGCAATGCCACTTCTGGGTATATACCCAAAGGAAATGGAATCAGGATCTCACAGAGATACCTGCACCCCCATGTTTATTCACATTATTCACAATAACCGAAGTGCCCCAAAAATGGATGAATGGATTAAAAAGATGTAACATATTACAATGAAGTATTATTAAGACATGAGAAAGGAGGACAGCTGGCATTTGCGACTACATGGGTAGACCTTGAACACATCATGCTAAGTGAAATCAGTCAGAGAAAGATAAGGGCAGTCTGATGTCACTTTTGTGTGGAATCTAAAAAAGCCAAACTCGTAAAAACAGAGTAAAATGGTGGGTACCAGGGGCTGGGGGCAGGGGGCGAAGGAGGGATAGAGTAGATGAGATTGAAGGGCACAAACTTACAACAAGTAGTTACCAGTTTAACGACATAAGCCATAGAGATCTAATGCACAGTGTAGTGAATATCGACAGCAATTATGTATTCAAGCTTTTTAAGAGACTAGAAGTTAATTATTCCACTCACCAAAAAGAATAATTATGTAACTTGATAGAAGTGCTAATTATGACTAGGGTGGCAATCATATTGCAATATATGAATGTATTAACTTTAAAATTATACAATGTTCTATGTCAAATATATTTCAGTTTTTAAAAATTGTCTGTAAAGACGAATTCTAGTTTTTCAGGACTTTTAATGACACAGGCAAGCTACAGCCCCAAGCGCACCCTCATGCGTCTTTGTCTCTTGAGGTGCTAATGGCAGAGCTCCAAGCCCTCCTAACCAGATCCTAGTTCCTAAAATATTATTCCTTTGAAACTGATAGCATTTGACTTTTGTTAGAATTCTTAAGAAGAAGAGACCACGAAGGTACTCTCCCATTGCATACAGGAAAACAGCTTCTTATTATTATTGTTATTTCTTTTTGATTGCATGCAAAATATCAAAAGTTTTTTTCCTGGTAAAGGACGGTCTACTTTCTTAGCCTTGTAATGGCCCCTTACAGGTAGCTGGAAAGAACTGGAACCTCTTCCCACGAAGCTACCAGGCTCTGTCTTGGACTCCCAACGTTCATTCAAAGAGGTTCCGGCCAGAATCCAACAGAACCCAATTTACTTTCTGAGTTCAGGTGAACACATCTGGGGCCGTGACTGCTTATGCAGCTAGACTGACCATTATGTGCTCAGCAGTAGCTCACAGACCCCCCTGAGCGTGACCACTGAGCACACAGGCCGGCTCGCCCAGTGGCCTAGCCCTGGGAGATGCTGCAGCTGGGCCCGGCCAGGAACGAACGCAGGTGCTCACCACGCTGCCCACTGTGTCCTGCGTGGTTCACTTGATTATGTGTTGAATTTGGTGCCCAAGTGCTGACTCATCTGCCAGTTTAAGAGAAGATAACTGTCGCTGGGAGGCCTGGGAATCTGATAGAATCGATTGAGAATGTCTATAGATGGAAATCCCCAAAATCCTTAGTGCTTAGAGGCCAAAGATGGTGAGTGAATCATTGTCTCTGGCTGGTGGGTGATGTCTGTTCTAGTCACTAAGCCCAATACAAATGTTCTATATTGGACCCTGTTTCCATCTTCAAAGGAAAACCAGGGGGCCGTGGGCCAGTGACAGTCCCTTCCTCTCATCCCCAGTACCCTCTGTTCTGTGCTGCCAGCCTCCAGACAGGCTGTCCATGACCCAAAGGAGAAAGCAGGCATTGTACCCTCCCGCGCTTCCCTGCCTCCCCCCATCCAAGTACCAGCCACCTAACACCCTTAGTCCTGATCCCCCTCTTCTAACGCCAGCCCGCTGACTACAATGAAAGCTGGAGCTGACTGGAGGCACTGCGCCAACAATCCAAAGTCTTCTTCCTCCTGTGTGCGTGGGCCACAAAGTGCGTGAACAGACGACAGCCAGGAGCTTTAAGTGTGTGACCCAGGACGCTTGTCCTGCATACAGCAACCTGCCCCAACCTGACATCCGGCACCCCCCTCAATCAACACAGATGGCAGGCCAATGGCAGCAGTGACAGAAACTCACCTCCCAGGGGCTCAGGTCACCCAGAGGGACCCGGTCGCAGGGCCTTGCAACACAGAGGAGCAGTCCTTCAACTCAAAACCATCTTCCTTTTTTTCAGTAGCGGGAGGTGGTCGGCAGTGGAGCAAGAGCACAAACACTAAGCTGCAGAGTCCGGTGCGTCTGCTGCTCCTGCCTTCCTCCAACTGCAAGAAATCGGCTGTGGAGATACTTAGGGGACTGCTGATGGGATCTGCATGTCATTTATCTTTTAAGAGCATCAAAAACATTAGTTGGACTGTTTTCATTTTCAAATCCTCCCCCTCTATTCCTAGCTCAAGATTTCTGTTTACCCATGAAAGCAAATAGGAGATGTCTCCGGATCGTGTGCGCGAGACCACACCCGGAGGCCAGGTGTGGGTGGGTTTTGTGTCCAGTGGATGGTGTTTCTAGATTAACATGTTTTCAAAAGTAACGTGACACGGGCTCCCTGCGCAGTGACTGCATTTGGTGACGCTCCCGTAATCCTATCAGCGAACTCTATCTCAGAAATACGGGGCGCCCACCCCAGCAGGGCTGTGACCGGAACCACATGCCAGTCAGGGTGGCGTCAGCCTGTGACTGTTGAGCGGCAGAAGGGAGACACCGTGATGGGGCCTGTGCTCCCCCGAGAGCTGAGGATCTATTATTTATCGTCAGTCTCGGTGAGGTGGGCCTTCAGGGAGTGTGTGTGAGTTGGTGACCAGCTGTTACAAATTGTTTATCCCCAAACCATTTTACAAGTCAGGACAGAAGAATCTTGGAAACTGAGCAAACCAGTATTTGGAGAAGCTTCTTGGAGGTGTGTGACCAGCAGCCTTCGCTTGTTTTTCTTGCCCTTTGGGGGTCAGCGCTGTCTTTTTGGCCAATTTTCCCACTGACTTAACCACGTAGTCATCATAAATCTAAGTGATTGTCTCATTTGTATGGAAGCCATGGGCCCTTACTGTGCTCTCGGAACATTTAGAAAACTCTTGCCAATTGATTTTCTTTTCTTTCTTTCATTTTTAATGTAAACCCTTTTTACATATCTTTCAAATAAAACTCAATGTTATAAAAATTGCCCATTGATTTCCTAAGAATAATTCTAATGACACATTTTAAAACACTGCTTTAAAGAAATATAATTTTTTTCTTTTTTTTCCCCCACCCTCTCCCGTCCTCCAGAAGTATAATTTTTAAAAGGACTTTGTCCCTTCCCCAACTTTCTAGCTTAAGTTTGGCAACCACTGCCCAGAGTGAAGAGGAGCAGAATATTTTAGGAACGTTCTTTCTCCTTTACCTAAAGACTTACCCTTCTCTCCCTGCCTTTCACCCCCAGGCGAAAGGAAGAGCACTGACTTAAAATTATAAGAAAAATATAAGGAATAAATGTCAAACATATTATACATCGATGCCTGATCTATGCTTCTCAAGATGATTTTGAAAGAAGTCTATCCCTGCATTAGGAAAAACAATCTAGGGGATGCCTTAAGGAATGCCTGTGGTCAGGGGGTGGCCAGTTGGAAAGGGTGGTGAGTAGAAGCAATGAAGTGAATTTATGGACACTGACGTGGTCGCGTGACTCAGTATTCCTAAAAGCTCCACTGTTCTCTGCAGCTCCCCCTCACCCCACCCCGGGCGTGCGAGCAAGTGCCTGGGGGAGGGCGGCACCGCTGCACAGGCTTCTTGGAAGGAACGGAGCTAACCCCTGAGCTAACCAGGAGGTGAGGCGCCACTAAAGCACTTGCTTTGTTCTTTATGCCTCTGAGGTTGGGGTCCTGCCCAAGTCCTGCTGATGCAAGAAAAATAGTTTGGGAAGGGTCAGTGACATCCCTCTGAGGTGGAGCCTACCACTAAGGCAGAAAGAATTCTAGATGATACAGTTTTGATGTGTGTGATCTGCCTGTCAAAAGGTGCCTCTGGGCACATTTGCAATCCCATAATTAAGACTGACAACAGCATCATAAAGCAGTGGGTATTTATTATCTTCAGAGGAGGACATCCCGGACGCATCCTGTCCTAAAGGCAGGCAGACTCTTAGAAGTGAGACACGTGGGGGAGTCATAAGCGCCTCACTTCCTTCCCAAGCAACCCGCCCTACTCAGTGATGTTTGGAATGACGGGGTCGGAACAGGTCTCATTGTGCAACTTCTTTCCCACGTGACCCCACGTGAGTGGGAAGCCCTTGACTGCTGGTACCAGGCAGCCCCCAGACCTGCTGACAGTAGTGATAGTGTCCGCCTGCAGGAGAACACGGGCTGTTTCCCGGCCCAAG